TTAGAAATATTTTGCTTCCCTATGTACAGAGTTTGTGATGCAACTATCCACTAAGTAAAATTCCTCTTTGCATTTGGATTGACTCCCGTATAGGTCTATATATAGCATGAAGAATATAATGACATTCTTTGCAAATATATAGATTACATACAAGTTAATTAATGAAATATCAAATGTGATGGTACATTATTATGATATTCAATTAAAATTGATGATAACATTTTATATTACAACACCAAAATGGGACGAAGATACTAGGTATCTTTGTAAATGGAAGACAAATTTGGTCTCCAAAATAGATCAAGCGAAGTAAATTCAATGATCGTGCTCTCCATGCTCATAAGACCCACTTATTAATTAAGTGTTTGGTTGCTATTTGGTTTTTTCATGAAACTTGTTGTGAACAACGGGCCTTCCTGGTGGTGTCAGGTTGAAGATAGAAGCGTGCTTCATATCTTTATTGTTGAGCTGGATATTTATGTCCAATGGATTTGTAATACCGATCAATTAAATGTTTCAAGGCATGACATTTCCAAGTTGTGTGGCTGTAACATACACAATTGGGACAAAATATGGTTCTGTCATATTTGGGAAATGCCTTGACCCTAAAGAATGCACGGGGCCGCTACTTCTTTTTGCGTTAAATCTTACCATTAAAGTTCTATGGATGGCATTACTACATGGCATCGAACTTGTATTGATTCTGAAAATTCAATGTAATGCTAATGACGATTCCTCGATAAGAGTTTATCATACACTTAGACCTGAAGTAATGTAGGAATTAATCTAGAATACATTTGGTAAGTTGTGTGCTTTTGCGAAAACGCAATGTTGAGGGATATTTTGGAACAACATAATTATATTCTCAAGTGGACTTAAGATCATAGAGATAAAGTTGTGGCCAATCGTAGTTGACATTGGGCAAAATGACTGTCTTGTGTTGTTCATATCACTCATTGAAAGCTAACCATATAGTGCTTCGATTTGCACCCATTGAGATACACATACGTGTGAACTGGATGTATATGATGCTTTATTTAAATAAAACTCCGTATTTAAATTGATCATAAGTGGTGATGCTCTCTTATGAGGAGCATCAAATATTGCCATGAATCCATAGAACATGAAGTTTAACATTACGTCCATTGACCATGTTAGCTAATGATGACCATCAAGAGCAAGAGATCAAACTCTTTGTTGGCTATTATTCTAACAAGGTTTAAACCATAGATTTTCTAAATTTACGTTAAGGGTAAATTTAAAATTGCTATGGTGATGTTGTAATGGGATGCAAAATAAAGACAAGATAATCTTGTATTAATGTTTTTATAAAAATCTCATATGCATAATAACATAATGGAGGTAGTCACAGTAAAGGTGTAGACCTCAAAATAGACATAATCTGTGTTAACAATAGATGCCAAGTCATTAATGCAAGTTGTATGAACACGTCTTAAGGTAGTCATCAAAGATTGATGTAGACCTTAATTAATTCGCAAACGAATTGGGTACTCACATTGAGGATACTCACTAAGTTGTGGACCTAGTGTAGATCCTACAGTAGCAACTATGGTGCTACCTTGTGGATGGCCAATAGGAATGCGAACTAATGGTAGTCATCTTTGTGAAAAGATGTAGACCATATATTCTAATTTGTGATGTTGGGTACGCACGTTGAGGATAATCAATAAGTGTTTACTTAGTGTAGATCCCGCAGTAACAACTTTGGTGCTACCTTGTGTATAGCCAACAAACAAATATAGAACATGGGCATTATACAATTGATGAGAAAATACACATAAAATGTTGCATCCATAATTTAAGAACGTAGTGCTTTAAAATTGAAAAGCTTAAATGGGCTTAAATCAAATGATCGATTGCATGTTAAATAAATGAATTGCAAGATCATGGTCGTAATAGTAAGGATACTTGTTTATTGGATTTGCCATACCATGGGACAACTACTTTGAACAGTACCATAAATAGACATTTTACAATAGTAAAACATCACAAGTACAATAATTGTTAAAGCGACCTAAACAAATAGTACTTACACATAGAATAACTATGTAGTTTGCTGCAGAGAATTATTAGAGACAAATAGCCTTATGCGAATTCTTTGCAAATAAAAAAAATAAAAAAAAGTAGCAGGCTTGCCGGCCATCAGGCCCATTTAGCAAGGATGCTACAGACATGTTAAAACCTGAGGGCTTAATCATGAATCTGGATTATAATAATAATTCATGAAAATCATTATGTAATTCACAAGTAATAAGGCGGATTTTTCTGCAAAAACCGCAGAATCTTATCCCTTCCACGCGGAGGCATGGACGGTTTCTTTCGTTGCCCGTCCTCTCGGACAGGGGCCTCTCGGCCGCCTCCATGGGGACCGGTCGCCACCGGGCTGGCCTCTGGCCGCCGTAGTGAGGCGCGGGAGGAGGTGTGCAACGTCCTTGGCAGTGAGCTCGTTGCCGAGCACCGGCCGTGGGGGCGCAGAGCTGCGAGCCGCCGGGCGTGTGAGGCGAGGACAGGATCACCTCCGTCGGGCGTTGGTGCCGTGGGCGTGAGGGCGCAGCCGGCCTTAGGTCGAGCACATCGCCGACGGGGAAACTCCCCCTGTGCCGGATCTGGCTGATTGCAACCTGAGCGACGCGATGGTTGTAGTTGTCGGCTTGCCGCGACCGAAGTTACGGTTTCCGTATTGGAAGAAGACGCATGTGGCATCCTCCAGGAACAAGGTACAGAATGTATCCGTATTTCATACATTGATGGGTACTTACCTTTGCGATCGAATTAGATATTGTTCCTGTCGGAGTTCATCGTCCATATTGCTCTGGATTCTCAAGGAAACCGGTGGCCTCCCATCCTTCTCTTGAAGACGATGCGACCATGGAGGACAAAAACAATGTCATCAGTCATCACGGCAAGGCAAAAGCAATGTTCATGTTCATCCTCTTCTGCCCCCAGCGAGAGCGTGCGATGATGGTTCAGAGGCATGCGCGTCTCTGTCGTTCGCAGAGCAAAGTGGTGATAACGCGTTAAAGCGTGAATGTAAATGAACAAGATTTGGAAGAACTATCGCTTTCATTGATCTCGGAAATATATTTATATAAGTGGAGGGGTGTCACGAAGGGACACGACTGTTCCCAAAAGACATGCCTTTTGGAACTAAAATTAACTGTCTAATCCTATCCACTAATCCTGTGCTTGATGGAAGAGATCACTCATGAAGAGACGTTTGTTCGTCTGTAGACGTCCGTTCGCGTATAGGTGTCATTTCACATCAGGGACCACCTTTTTCTGGGTCTCTAGTCTCTACCGTCACAGAAGATTTGATTGGGACTGGATCTCACGCAGCACTGCCTGCCTTTCATGCCAGGCAGCGGAGCTTTACTGCCAGAATTCCAGAGGAATTAACCCAACTTTTGGAAGTAAAAGCAATTCATATTTGAAACCAAAATATGCCGCAGAATTTAACGCATGTTGCTTGATTCCACCACCTTAAACCTAGCGGAACCAAATAATGAAACGCATGCCACGCACGCACGTTCTCAAAAGAAAAACGAAAATAAAACATTACACGTATCACTCGTAATTATTTTATATATACACATCAGATCCGTTCCAGAATTTTGACCATTTGAGTCCTTTGAACTTTATATAGTACCCTATGTACATATACATATACTATAGCAATGTTGATTATTGTTTTCTTTTTTGTGTGAACCGTGAACGTGACGCTACATTTTGTGACTATATTACATTTTGGCATTTGTAGATGCATATATTTTATTATGTATTTAGACATAATATATATCTAGGTGCATAGAAAAAACTATGAATCTAGAAAAAACAAAACTGGAACAGAGAGAGTATTATACTCATGCTAGAGAAGACCTTTCGTACGCTATAACCACCGTATCTTCTTCACTCTTGACTTTTATACACCAGTACACGTGAGGGTGGACATCAATTTGATTCTTTGGTCTACTTGGTCAAAACAAAGACCAGAGGAACTGACAAAACAAGGTGAGATGCGGTTGAATTCCTTGCAGGTGCATCCAACATATATGCTACCGTTCGGCTGTACTACTTGTTTCAGCTTATTCTCTCTCACAGAACACTATTGAATCATCCGGAATAATCTGAAATCTGCTGTGCAACTCATTAGCCGATGGTAATAGCTAAGCCTTTCTTTTTCTCCTTTTGATCCCTTTTCTTTACGACAAAAGACAGAGATGACAAATACTTCTTTTTATTCTTTTTCTTCAAGACAACAGAGAGATGTCAAATACTAGCTCTAGCTCAAGAATCCCTAAAGCGAGCTAGAACTTTGGGCGCATTAAAAATATTAGGTCGAATATTTTGGATTAAAAACATGTTTAAAGCACTTTATTTTATGCCAGACCTGATCATGGGCTATCTCCAACTTACACGAAAAAACCAACCATCAGGTAAGCTCAAGCCATAGTTTTCGACCCATAACTCGACTCAAACCAAAAAACAAACCAAACATAGAAAAACCCAAGAAAGAACCTAACCTGGCACGAACAGACGTGCCCAACGAGAGGGCATAGGCCAAAAACTTGATCTCGACTCGACTTGACGTTTGATAAGATCTATTTTATACTAAACTCCGAATTTCATTTGAAGTGAAGACAAAGCCTCCCCCAGCTCTAGTTCATTAGTTCATTTGAAGTGAAGCTGAAGCCGTTAGAAGCACGCAAGCAGAGAAGCTGAAGCCGTGTGGAGCCATGCCAAAGAGGGCATTATAGCTTCTTCAGTTATGCTCTATCTAGTGGCTCTCCAACTATTCAGAACGACACGATGATCTATGTTGACAAAAGCAGATGATATACCACGATAAAAATTAACACACAGGAGAGGGTTACGGGCTTACGGCACACAAGGCCACAGCCCACAAGTATCAAAGCTAGACGTCAGACAGCAATACAGATGACAGCCGGGTCTGAGAAAGCTAACAGTTCGGATTCGCGGCTTCACTTGCCCAGATGAGTCAAGATCCTGCTGACAAGTACCTCTTTCTTACCAGAAACAGGGAGGTCATGCGCGGTCAGGTAGGATTTCAATTCCGCCGCTGTCATTTGCTTCAGCTGCAAATGACAACCTTGGAATTTAGAAAACAATTATAGTAACCAAACAATATTGTATAACATGTCAACGATTATTGGCAATTGCAAAAACTTCAGCTCTAAATTCATTGGCATATTTCACCTAGAAGTGATATGCTGAATTCTAGTTGCATGTATACTCAGGAGACAAATTTTTAATTAACTTTAGCTTGTTGGTTAAGAAGAATTTGAGTGCATTTAGTGTCTGCAGAATAAATCCAGTGCCTCCCCGTTTACGTGCCTTGTTCGCTTGGCTGATAAGCCATGGCTGAAAATACTGTTGGCTGATTTGTTGTGAGAGAAAAATACTGTTCGTTGGCTCAAATTACTTTTCAGAACACTGCTCCAATAGAAGGGTGAAAGAAGAAAAAAAACGCAGGGAAGAGCCGGTACGAACCTGGACGGTGTCTTCGTCTTCATCGCTGTCGTCGCGGAAGATGCCCTCTGGGTCTAGGTCCATGGCGCCGGCTTCCGAGCGAGGGGTCAGGCTTCTGGAACTGGAAGGTTCTAGAAACTTGCTAGGGTTTAAGACGGAGCAAAGGGACGAAGGGCGCGTGGGAAGGGACTACTGCTGCGCTTGCTCTGTCTTCTCGAGGAAGAAACATAGCGAAACTCAGCTGGGCCTACGGCGCGTCTTCCTCGAGGAAGGAGGAAGCGAAACTCAGCTGGGCCTACGGCGCGGGCCAGAAGCTGCGGATATGGCCCATGGGCCAACCTACACACGATCGGGGCGACCGGGTCAGGCACGCGGACGACGAGGCACGCGACTCGATGGTGGTATGGCGCTCGGCGGGGAGTCGGTCGACGGGCAGGCATTCGCGGTAGGGAGGCAGCCGGCGAGACGACCCTCATCGGTGGAAAGGCTCTCGGCGGGAGGAGCGGAAACAACCGACGGAGAGCCATAGGAGCTTGAGGACCATGACGATTGGCGGGGAGGCCCATGAGTCCATCATGACGGAAGGAGCGGACCAATAGCTCATTAGAAAAAAGCGGTGGAGTAGCCAAACGCGTATAATAAATAAAGTAATCAAAACAGAATATTAAATTTTTTATATATATTTGTATTTCTCAATCAAAAACGAAATGATATTTTTTTGGACTGGGGGAGTATACCTGGAAAAAAAAAGGAAATGTTACTCGTTCAGAAAAGATAGATTTTACCTTTTGTTTTTGAGAAAAAATAGATTTTACCTGACCACTAGACCTCTCCAACGTCCAACCAGGCTGAAACGCCCCCACTTGAGGCGCACCGTGTCAACGGTTCCAGGAAAACCGACCACGGATAGGTGGGGTCGAAACACAAAACCAGCTGTACGTGCCCACCTGTCCATTCCCCGAGAATTCGAACGCCCAGAGAGGCAACCCCAAACGGAAATCTCCCGCCCCCAACCCAAAAAACATCCGCAACGAGCGCGCCTGCCTACTCGTCCGCTGGCGGCCACCGCGCAACGAAACCGCAATCCGCTCCAGCTCATCCCGCCTGCGGCGAGCGCGCCTCCCCGTCCAGCGTCCACGCACACCACGCGGCCTGCCAAATCCCAGTCGCGCAAACCAGAATCTCTTCTGGTTTTGGAAACAACGGCGCCGCTCTGCATTCTGAAATGCCAATCACGCAATCCAGAATCCTTTTGGTTCTTTGGGAAGTATTAATATGTAAGCAAAGCACGATTCTAGAGATTTCGCCAAGATTCCAGCGTCATTTTCGAACAAATCCCCAGCCTTTTCTCCGTATACGATGATGCTACGAACCTTCTCTACATCCAACAAAATCAACTAATCCAACAATTGAACGAAGAACCCGATTACAATTGCAGTCAAATGCAGAAACCAGAACCAAACATGATGCAATGCTAGGATCCTTCTCTACGATCTAAATCCAACAAAATCAACCAATGCAGCAATTGAATAGCAGCAACCAGAAATGCAAACACGATGCAACCAAAAACGATCTGACAGCATCAAGGCAACAGCCCCGGAATCATGAAATAGCATAATAATAATAATACTATTATAGCTTTAAGGCTTGTTTAGATTGGCTCAAAGTTCCAAGTTTTTTCACTCTCTCTCCATCACATTAATTTTTGACGTATGCATAGAATATTAAATGTAGATAAAAAAATAACTAATTGCACAATTTGATTGTAAATCACGAGACGAATCTTTTAAACCTAGTTAATTCATGATCGGACAAAGTTTATCAAATACAAACGAAACATGCTACAATTTCCCGATTGTAAAAATTTGCAATCATCATGTGCCTGATCGCACACGAAAACCATCCCAAGTTTTTACAGACGACCGGCTACAACCTTTTTGAAGGCTCTGAGCCTCATGCCGGAGCTACCGGCGAATCTAGGACCTACTGACTAGACGGATAAAAATCCAGATAGGAAGCAGGACGGGGAAATCTATACTATAGGCGGAATGGAGCGAGGGAGGGGATCTCGCCGGCGCCTAGGCAGGCAGGCAGGGAGCCTACTTCTTGGCCTTCCTGGCCGGAGCGGTGGCGGCGGCGGCCTTCTTCGGGGTCGCCGCCTTCTTCTTGGGCGATGCCACTGCCTTCGCCTTCTTGGCAGCAGCAGCAGGAGCAGCAGCCTTCTTGGCTGCTGCTGCCTTGGCGGGGGAGGCCTTGGCGGAGGTCTTGGCGACCTTGGGAGGGCGCCCGCGGGGCTTGGGCAGCGACGCGGCGGCGGGAGCAGCGGGCTTGGCCTTCGCCTTGGGCTTGGGCTTCGCCGTCGTCTTGGCCTTCGCCTTCGGCGAGGCCTTGGGCTTGGCCGCGGTCTTGGCAGCGGCCGCCTTGGGTGCCTTCGGCTTGGCGGCAGCGGCAGCGGGGGCGACCGGCAGCTTGAAGGAGTTCTTCACCCTCGTCAGCTTGCCGGCGGCAGCGAGCTTCTTCAGCTGCACGGTCAGCTGCTTGCGGAAGTTAGAGGGAAGCTTGCCGCCGTGCTTCTCCTCCACGTACTTGCCTATGGCCACCGAGCTCGACCCGGTCCTCTCCTTCAGGGCAGCGATTGCCTCTGAAATCATCTGCAACCAGACCCAAAAAAAATTGCATCTCAGATTCAGGATCGAATTCGCTAACATTGAACAAAAGCCAGCGCCAAAACCGATCCAACATATTCCTCATCACGAACAAGCAATAAAAAAAACAATACAACGGAACAACGAATCAACTCGATCACAACGGAGTAAACCACCGGCGCTCTCACCTCGGCGTAGGGAGGGTGCGCCGCCGGCTTCTTTGCCTTGTCCTTCTTCTCCTTCGGCGCCTTCTCCTTCGGTGCCGCCTTCTTCGACTTGTCCTTTTCCGCCTCCTGGGCCGCCGGTGCCTCAGCCTCCACCTCGGTCACCGGGACCTCGGCAAAAACAGCCTCCTCCGTCGCCATCGCCGACTGCTACACTACTACCCTCCCAACCCTCTCCGGAACTGCGCGTGCGCTACTGCGTTCGCTCGCTGTGTCAGCGGCGGCGGCGGCGGAGGGTGAAGAGACCGGAGGCGAGGACGAGACCGTTTAAATAGCGGTGGCGAGTGGAAAGGCTCAGGGACGTAGCGCAGCGCCGTGATTGGCCAAGCGGGTTCACACGCGGATCGCTACCCCGCCGCGGCTGGGGCTCCTCGCGGGACGTCGGATGCGCCTGGATCCAACGGGTGGGGACGCTCGCCGCGCGGTGGCTCGGATGCTGGCCTCCTGGTCCTGGGTCGACGCCAGCGGACGCGACCTGTGCTTCTCTAACGAATCCCCGAGCTGACCTTTCGCGACGTGATCCATCGTTTCTCTTGAAACTCAGTGTGTTTGTAGGGGACTAAATTATCTTTCAAATGCGAGTGGTTTGGTCTGATTTGGTTGAGAGTTCAGGGAAAAATTGGGAGTTCGGTGCGGACAGGTCTGTTTTTGGGAATCTCCGTGCAAGTGTGTTTCTCTTCCGACTTAGGGGCACGAATTCTCCGGGCATGATCCATCGTTTTGAACCAAATTTCGTGCGGGCATGGACCTCAAAATTATCTTTCGAATGGGACTGGTCTCGTTCGATTTGGTTGAGAATCAAACGAGAAATAGTCGATCAAGTGATGGCTGGTCTTGGTGGTGACTCTCCTGCGTTTGTCATGATACAGCGTGCACCGCACCCAAAGTGCAAATTCAGTTACATACGTAAAAAAAAACTAGATCGAGGCCTGTCACATACCAGTATCTAGCATCATTATCAGAATCAAACATGAGGATACTAGTGACTAGTAGATTCAGCACAAAGGGGAACAGTGATCAAGTGCCATAAGCATATTTTTTCCTTCTAAATGCCCAATTTTTTTTCAAACAAAAATGGATAATAGCCGCGTGGTTTCAAATTGAAAACAGCAAAAATGCAGGATGGAAATTAGATCTATCAATCAAGAACTTGTTTTTAAAGAAGTGGATCGGAGTTTCTTACTTTGGGCATGCTTGGCGAAGACAGCAGATTTCCATGGCAAAGCTGGCATTTCCTGCTCCTCATCGGATGCTTTCGTGTAACCACCATCGTTGAATCCTACTTACTCCTGCCAAATACAACAACGATGGATGTGGCATCAGCACACAAGTATATACTTTGATAACGCGAGAGGAATTAAGTGAACATATCAACGTATAGAATGTTCAAATGTAAAAGGAAAACATCATTCCTTTATGATGGAATGCTCTGAGTGATTAATTGGGCATATCGATGCTAGCTATAGAATGTCAAAAGGTCTTTTAAGTTGCTATACAAGCACGTTGGTTCTGAAGTCTACAGTGCTCACCAAAATAGGAGTCAACATTGTACCAAAGTTTGCCAATGCCGAAAGTAGTGAGCAGTTAAATCATATTAGGAAAACTTTAGGCATTCGGGTCAGTGTCCCATGTAAGGTGTTCAACATTTTTGCTCCTTTTTAAGCAAGTTGGGGTGACATGGGGAGATTTCTATAAAAATTGAGTAGTTTCCGTGTAGATTACTATGAGAGAGAGAAAAACGCAGTTAAGCCGACCACACATAACTCAAAAGAAAGAGAAAAAGGAGAACGATTTGTAATTCAATTCACGTCATTCGCCGCCGCCGACCTCAGCCACTTCCAACAGGCTAACAGCACCCTCGATGCTGAGCCACCCCACCCACCTCCTGTCGTCACCCTCCTACGTGCCCTCTACTGACTGAGGTAATCGCTCGTTCCCATTGTTGACCTTCCCCGCCAAACATTCTCCCGTAAGTCACAAGACGTCGTCGTCACTCGGCCCACCTACCCACCCTGACTCCAACCATCCTCTTTAAGATCAATGTCCTTCCAAAACCTAAGACCGTAAATCTCCAATCCCCAAACCCATCCAACCCTAAATCTAGGGTTTTCGTTCTTCTTCAACTCCCGCTTCTTCAACTACACATCGCAAGATCTAACTTCTTCTTCAACCCCAAACCACCATGCCTCCAATATAGGAGTGAGAAAGAAATAAAGAAGGGGAAGAAGAAAGAAGGTTGACTTGCCTGGGTATCTGTCGTAGTTCGCCGCTGCTGCCACCAAAGTCTATGCTACTTGATCTTATCCTCACCGGATCTGGAAGGGAGAAAGAGTTTGGATTTGAGAGGAAGCGCGTCGATGACCCCATGAAGAGTTAATAGGTTACACTACTATAGAAATCTTTATTGAGGCGGGCAGAAACGATTTTCCGAGGCGGGCGTCTCAACAACCTCCATTGAAAGGCCTCGATTAATCAGGATTTACATAGGTGGTGCAGTATGCCCACCTTGATTAATGAAAATAAAAAAACAATCAAAATCCTAGACCTGGTTAAGTCTGGGTAGATCTGGGCCGCTAGCAGCAGCACCACCGGATCCGCACCTAGACGCGCTGGATCCACATTTGCACGCGCCGGTGGTGGAGGAAGGGGAGTTGGATCGCCGAATCTGTGCTCGTTGGTGGGGAAGGAGGCGAGGGGCCGCCGGATCTACGGTGCTGGAGGTGCTCCGGCGGTGGTGGCGGCGCTAGATCCGCTCAATCATCGGGGTGAGGGACAGGACGCCTACCGTTGCCGCTGTCAGAGGTGTTGCGCCCACCGATGGAGGGGCGACGCACCCGCCACGTCGCTGTTGGAGAGCCGCGCCAACCGTGCTGCCTCCACCGCGCTAGAGAGTCGAGCGAGGAAGAGGGAGAGGGAGGGGGAGGGGCGCGCGTGGTGGCTGCCCCTTGTGTGGTCGAGGGTGAGGGAGATAGAGAGGAGGGCAAGTGAGGGAGTGAGAGGAGTGCGGCGGTCGGGTGAGACAAAGAGAGAAGGAAAGGTAGATTGGATAAGTGAGGGAAACCCTAACTCTGCTATTTATATAAGCCCGATAGGAGGTGTGGTTATGTGCTTTGGCTGGGCCTCGGCTGCATTAACGGGGGCAGGCTTTTTAAGTGGACCGCCTGCAAAAATGGAGGCATTTTTGGAGGCGGGCCGTAAATATATTTCAAACCACCTCCGTAAATCGATTTTGCAAGACGGTTAATTGTGACCGCCTCGGTTAATGAAAACGACCGCCTGCATTAATCACCATGCATTAATCGAGGCGATTTGATTTTATAAATGCCTCGGTTAATAAAAGGGCTCCACCTCGCAAAATCATTTGTGTAGTAGTGTTAAGGCTTCACTAGATTTTAGAGGTTGACTTGCCTAGGATCCGTCGTAGTCCACAGCTGCTACCACCAAAGTCTGTGCTACATGCCCTTGCTGTCACCAACTCTAAAAGGGTGAGAGAGTTTGGATCTAAGAGGAACCGCATCAGTGACCTTGTGAAGAGTTAATAGGTTAAGGCATCAATGGATCTAAGAGGTCGACCTACCTAGGGATATGCTGCAGTCCACAGCCGCTGCCACTGAGCCCATGCTACTTGCCCTCACTGTCATCGGATCTGAAAGGGAGAGAGAATTTGGATCTGATAGGAAGTGGAACGGTGACCCCATAAAGAGTTAGTAGGTTAAGGCATCATGAGATCTGAGAGGTCAACTTGCCTGGGGATCCATCGTAGTCTGCAGTCGCTGCCACCAAAGTCCGTCCTCCTTGCCATCTCCATCACCGGATCTGAAAGGGAAAAGAGTTTGGATCCAAGAGAACGCGCGTCAGTGACCCTATGAAGAGTTAATGGGTTAAGGTGTCACTAGATTTGAGAGGTTGACTTGCATGGGGATCTGCTATAGTCTGGAGTCACTGCCATCAAAGTCTGTGCTCTTGCCCTCGCCGTCACCAGATCTGAAAGGGAGAGAGAGTTTGGATATGAGAGGGAGCGTGTCGGTGATGCCGTGAAGATTTAATAGGTAAATATGTGGTCCCTACTGTGTAGGAGGACGGCTAAACACGTGATCGACCGTAATTAAGTCTTTACTAAATTAAAGGCATAGGATTCCTACCACATATCCAATGGGTGCAAAAAAACTTACATTGACTCATTTATATGTTCTATATATGTTAATTTAGAACTCAATTATGTGTTCCTAAATTTTCTTAAAAATCTATTCGTGTCCAAAAAAAGACTTTGCATTAGAACAAACCAATACTCCCAGAGAAGTTGCATGTGTATCACAAGTGCACTGTGACACTATCTATCTACTATACGCATCATCACCCTAACAAGAAAACCAATGAAGTTATCTATATGCCACTTTAATCGGAGCAAGACAGGAGGGACATCCTTACTTGGTTATCAATAAAATTGACATAAAACTTTGGCAAGAAGGCGCAAACAAAGTGTTGCAAGCAGGGCATGCATGCCTTCTTCAAAGGAAGTTGTGTCAAAGTCACATTGTCATGTTCGACAGCTTCAAAACAAATACAGTTCTACAATCATGTTTATAGTATGACGTGGAGGTTGTGTGTTACTCTCTTAGCATATATACCATCACATTGCATAGGATGCATGCAATCAATCTCCCTTTGATCCACTGAAAGATATACTTATGAAGGTAGTAATGGGTAAAGCACATTGTTTATAATGAGAAGGTCAACCTGAAGAAGGTCAAAGTCAATATTAAAATAGGTTCTCCTTGAGCATGTGACTTAGGATCTTTCAAGCCATGTTATCAAGGCTACACCTTTCATGCATAAGTCATTTCTTCGTATGATTCAAGAATAATTTGATCATTCACATACAGTATGACTCCTCATAGCTTGATTAGTACCTCAGATAAATGAAAGTGCCTGCTTCTTCACCTTAGCCGTGGTACCTCAGTTGCCATGCTATTGCTTGCCCTTAACCTTGGATTAATCCCTCGAATCCCGTTCCTTGCTACTTTCACTTCATCTAGACATCCTCAAGTCATACCATGTATTGTTCTACCTTAAGCATCCACTAAAATCCATTTCTTCAATAACCTGATCATTGCTTGATACTTTCCTTTTGCATCAATTTT